TGGTTGAGCTATAGGCGCCGAGCCAAGAGGATTTTTTTATTATGTCATTTAAGTCTTTGGTATCTCATTGATTTAGAATTGCTTTATTTTGCTGATAAAGTTTTTATCATTATGTAGTCATCATTTTTATTTCTACTAATGATTTTTATCATAAAGTCTATTTTATTTGATACACACATTACTATAGCTATTTCTACATTTTTTAGGTTAGTATTTTCCTGTAATACCTTTTTAATCCTTTACTTTAAACTGTTCTGTCTTCATGTTTTGGGTATCTCTAAATAGTTTATAGCTGGATATATTTTTTTACCTAGTCTTAGAATCTTTGTCTCTTCACTGGAGCATTTAGTTGATTTACATTTATTGGGACTACTGACTTATTTGTAGTTTTTCTACTACCTTAATTTATGCTTTTAGTTTTTCTGCTACCCTCCTCTCTCCCACCTTGCTTTTGATTCATTGAATTTTACTTAAATACAATTCTTATTATGTTTTCCTGTACTTTAGTTTGGAAGATATACAGTCTATTTTTATTTATTTATTTTGAGACAGAATCTCACTATGTCACCCTTGGTAGAGTGCGACAACTCTCTCTCTCTCACAGCAACCTCAAACTCTTTTGGGCTTAAGTGATTCTCTTGCCTGAGCCTCCCAAGTAGTTGGGACTATAGGCACCCACCACAATGTCCAGCTATTTGTTGTTGTTGTTGTTGTTGCAGTTGTCACTGATGGTTAGCTGGCCAGGCTGGATTGGAACCTGCCACCTTCAGTGCATGTGGTTGGCACTGTAACCACTGTGCTATGGGCGCTGCCCTATATAGTCTATTTTTATTTGTATAGTAGTTGCTCTTACTATTTTAACATGCTTGCTTAACAAAGCTGAAAACTGATTTCTTTTCTCTCAGACTTTCTTTGATATTTATACTGTTTGTAAATAACACAAGGAACAGCCCCTCACCAATTAATATGCTTTTTTTGCCCAATGTTTTAGTATTTTTTGCTTTACACATTGGGCATTACTATTATTATTTTATGTATTTAATATTTGTTTGCTTACATTTATGCTCATATTTGCCAATTTACTTGTTCATTATACCTCCTCAGAGTTTTTATCCAAGATTATTATTCTTATGTCAGAAATACATCCTTTGGTCTCTGTCTCATCTTTTCAGGAGAGTGACCCACTTACAACTCTCTTCGAAGTACTCTAAACTTTCTTTTCTTAAATAAAAGTAGTTTTTTTGGTTAAAAAATGTATTTTTTTAATGCTTTTTAGTGAGGATCCATTAGAAATACACTCTAAAATTTGGTTTATATAAAATTTTCTGGTGGCTCACACCTGTAATCCTAGCACTATGGGAGGCCAAGGCAGGTGGATTGCCTAAGCTCATAGGTTCAAGACCAGCCTGAGCAAGTGCAAGATGCTGTCTCTAAGAAATAGCTGGGTCTTGAAGCTGGTGCCTGTACTCCCAGCTACTTGGGAGGCTGAGGCAAGAGAACTGCTTGAGCCCAAGAGTTTGAGGTTGCTGTGAGCTATGATGCCACAGCACTCTACCAAGTGCAATAAAGTGAGACTGTGTCTCAAAAAAATTTTTTTTCTCTTTCATTTATTAAAGTTTTGCTGAACATACATTTTTAGGTTGACAGTTATTCTCTGAGCATTCTATTATTCTTACACTTCCATTATTGGCTACTAAGAATCTGTCTCTATACAAATATCACTCTTTTTAAGATAATATTTGTTTTCTCTCAGACTTTCTTTGATATTTATAGGGTGTGGATATTTGTGTTATGGTTTGTTGTATGAACTGAACCTGAGAAGTAGTATCTTTCAATATTTCTAGAACATTTTTATCTTCTCCCCATTTTCTTTTCCTTTGGAGGATTCTAGTTAGATCTTGTTACTCTATCCCACATGTGTTAATTTCTCTTTCACATTTTTTATATCTTTGTCTTTATAGTCTGCATTTCTGAATAACTTATTTGGATGTGTCTTCTATTTTACCCATTTACTCTTACGATATTACTAGATATTTACCCGTATCTGATGTGCTATTTAACCTATCCACTAAATTTTTATTTCAGTTAATCTATTTTCAGAAATTGTCATTTCTTAGACTTCTTCCTTACTTACACTTTTAATAATTATCCAAATAGATTATTTTTACTAGACATGTAAAAATAACTTATTTTACATTCTGTGTCTTTTAAGTTTCTTAAGTGAATTATTGCAGATCTAGTCTGTTTTCTGCTGTTTCTATGGGCTCTTCCTTGTGATGTCTTGTTTCCTGGTATGTTTTGTGTTTTTTCACTGTGAATTCATTTTGCTTGGAATTTTATTGGATTTGAGACCTGGGTTTAAGTGTTTCCTCTCAAAGGATTTGTAGTTGCTTCAGCCTGGTGCTTGAGTTTGCAAGCAGCCCAGGATTTAAAACTATTATATTGTAAATTTAGCTGCAGACCCACATAACAGTCAGTTGATGTTTATCAGTCTCAGCCAACACTGATTACTGCATGGTTCCAGCTTCATAAGGCAGGTTCTTTTTTTTTTTTT